GGGCTGAGACCTGAACCCTGGCAGTCTGGCGCCCACAGTCCATGCTGTTGAGCACTGTGCCACACAGGGCATTACACTTGGGAACTGGTCAACAGAAGACATGTGACAATGTCTAGTCCTTTCACTCCTCCAGCTCCTCCCTCTTCTTTGTGTTTCTGATTTTTGCTGTGTTTTTCCTCTTTCGTTATCTTTTACCATTAATATCTTTTTATCCTTTATTAATATCCTTGTATAGTTTTGGTATCAGGGTAACTCTGAGTAGGCAAGAGTTTCCTTCTTTTTCTGTTTTCTGGAAGAGTTCATATAGTGTTGGCATTATATCTTCCTTTTTTTTTTTTTTTTTTTTTTGGTACCAGGAATTGAACCACCCAGCACTGAGCCACATCTCCAGCCCTTTTTATTTTTGCTTTTGAACCTGAAATCCTCTTACCTCAGCCTCCTGAGCTACTGGGATATGGCATGCACCACCATGCCCTGCCCTTTCTTGAATATTTAATACAATTCACCAGTGAAGTTATCTGGGTTTTCTGGACCATGAGTTGTCCTTGTGGAAAGGTGTTTAAGCCAAGAATCAAGGTTCTTTAGTAGATTCAGGGGTATTCAGGTTTTCTCTGTCTTCTTGAGTGAACTCAGATAGTTTGTGTCTTTACAGGAGTTTATCCATTTCACCTAAGTTGTTTAATTTATTGGCATAAACTACTTTATACTAGTGTCTTATTGTCCATTAGTATCTGTAGAATTCTTTCATTACTACTATTGATAATTTTTGTCTTCTGTTTTGTTTCTGATCCCTCTCACTAGAAGTTTATTGATATTATTGATCTTTTTCAAAAACCCAACTTTTCATTTCATTGATTTTTATCTGTCATTTTTCTGCTATTTCATTAATTCCAATTCTCATTAATATTTCTTTTCTTATGCTTACTTTGTATGTTATTTGTTCTTCTTTTTCTAGCTTCTTAAGGTTTGAGACCTTTCTTCTTTCCTACTATAGGTATTTATTCCTATAAAATCCTTGTATTAGCTATATCCCACAAATTTTTTTCTGTCATGTTTTTATTTTATTAGGTTCAAAATATTTTCTGATTCTTCTTTGACCCATGAGTTATTTTGAAGCACATTGTTGGTTTCCAAATACTAGGGATTTTCCTACCAGCTTTTTCTTGTCAGTTCTAAGTACACTTCTGTTAGGCTCAGTTAATATATTTTGTATGATTTCAATTCTCCCAAATTTAATGAGTCTTACTTTGTGGTTCAGAATGTGAATTCCATTGTCATTAAGTAGAGTGTTCTATATATCTATATTAAGTTAGTAGTGTTATTCAATTCTTTTGTATTTTTATTAATTTTAATGTCTGCTTGATCTAACAATGACTAAAAGAGGAGTTTTGAAACTTCCATCTATAAATGTAAATTGTCTTTTCCTCCTTTTAGCTCTACGAATTCTCCCCTTATGTGTTGTGAAACTGTTGCTGGGTGCATGCACATTTGGGATTGTATGCCCTTTTGATGAATTGGCCCTTTTGATTAATTGACCCTTTTATCATTATAACATTATCTTATTTTTCCCTAGTAATATTCTTTGTTCTGCAGTCTACTTTGTTCAATTTTGATAAAGTCATTTTGGCATGTTTTTTATTTGCATGGTATATTTTCTCCACCATTTTATTTTTAACCTATATGTGTCTTTATATTTAAAATTGGTTTCTTATAGAGTGTGTATATTTGCCTTTTGATCCAATATAACAATTTCTTCCTTTTAATTGGAATGTTTATTTATATTTATATCTGTCATAATTATTGGTATGGTTGGTTTTAAATTGATGATTTTGCTATTTTTTTCTGTTTACCCCATCTATTCTTTTTTTTTTAATTTTTTCTCTTATTTTAGATTGAGTTTTTTATTTATAACTCCATTTTATCTTCATTATTGCTTATTGCCTGCTGTAGTTTAGATCTAAAATGTCCCCAAAGGCCCTTGTGATGAAGGCTTGTTCCCTAGCATGGTACTATGGGTAGGTGGTGAAAACTTTAAGAGGTGGACCCAGTGGGAGAATGTAGATCACTGGTGGTGTGCCGCAGCAGGGACTGTGGGACCGAGGTCTCTTCCTCTCTCAATCTCTTTCACTCCCTGCTATGAGATGATCAGGCTTCCTCCCCCACATGCTCCCACCAAGATATTCCATGTGACTACAGGCTCAGAGCAATGGGACCAATCAGTAATAGACTGAGACCCCCAAAACCATGAACCAAAAGAAAACATTTCTCTCTATAAGTTGATTATCACAAGTATTAGTAATAGGATGCAAACACATTGTCTTTATGTCTTTATCATTTTTTAGTGGCTGCTTTTATAATTTCTCTTTTATTTATTTACATGTTCAAATAATATTGTATCACTTTGTATATACTGAAAGTACTTTAAAACTTTACACTGCCATTTTCCCTCTTCTGTCTGCTATTGTCATATATTTCATTTAATATGCTATCACTTTTGCTTTAAATAGTTGATTATTTTTAAAAGATATTTTAAAGTGGGAAAACAAGTAACCCACCTGTGTACTGTTTCAGACATTCTTTATTTCTTTATGTTATTGAATGCCATGACCTTGGTAAATTCACTTTGGTTCCAAAAGGTTTTGAGTATCTTCCTTAGAATTTTCTACAAGTTCAATCATGTTGTCTGCAAATAAAAAGTTTTTCTTCTTCCTTTCTAATCCTCATGCCTTTTTTTACCCATCATTTTGTATTTTGTTTTTTGGGACAAGGGATGCTCAACCTGTACTTTGTTTTTTGTTATCAGTTTCCTTTAGCTTCAAGAACTTCTTTTCATACTTTTAGTAGTGCAAATATGCTAAAATTAATTATTTCCATGTTCATCTGTCTGAAATGTTCTATTTTATTTTCATTTTGAGAGATAGTTGGCTGGGCAAAGAATTCTAGCTTGGCAGGGTTTTTGTTTGCTTGTTGTTGTTTGGGGGGGGGTCTTTATTCCAGTACTCTCTTGCCTGCCAAAGCTCATAAAAAATTTGTAATTTTTATCTTTAGTCTTCTGTAATGTGTCTTTTTCCCTGTCAACTTTTAAGATTTTCATTTTATCACCTTAGCAATTTGATTATGATGTTATTGGGATCATTTTCTTTATATTTATTCTGCTTATATTTGGGCTTCTTGGATCAAATACAGAAATGTTTAAATATTTTAAATTTTAAAAATGTTATTCCCTTCCTCTCAGATCTCATTTCCTTCTGGAACTCCAATCCCCAAAATATTAGATTGCTTAGTGTTGTCCTACAGGTTGCTGACGCTCTGCCCATTTTTATTCAGCCTTCTAGGCTTCATTCTGGATAATTTCTAATGCTGTATGCCTTAGAGTTCACTGATTTTTTTCCTGAAATTTCTAATCTGTTATCAATCCCATTCAGTCTATTTTTCATTTAAGATGTGTTTTTAGTCACTAGAATTTAATTTCAGTCTTTTTTTATGTTTTCCTTTTCTCTTGTTCTCATTTCATGTTTTTGCTACTTCTTGAACACATGGAACATATTTTTCTAAAGATATTTAAATACCTTATGTGCTAGTTCTTTCATCCCTGTGACTTCTGGATCTATTTTTATTTATTTACTTTTTTATCCTGATTAAGGGTCTTTCTTTCTTTCTTTCTTTCTTTCTTTCTTTCTTTCTTTCTTTCTTTCTTTCTTTCTTTCTTTTTTTTCTAGTGCTGGGGATTGAACCCAGGACTTTGTGTGTGCAAGGTTAGCACTCTACCAACTAAGCTATATCCCCAGCCCAAGGGGTCTTATCTTTTTGTTTTTCTGAATGCCTTATGATTTTTTATTAGATACCAGGCACTGTGAATTTTATATTTTTCATTGCTAGATTTTGTTATATTCCTTTAATTAGCTTTGGCTTTTGTTTTGGAATACAGTTTAGTTACTTGAACATAAACTATTAACAGCCCTGTGTCAACACTGGAGTTGTTCTGTYTACTCTTTTCAAATAGTCTTCAGTAGTTTTCTCTCATGCATGTGTAGATTAGTACTTAGCCAAAAACTTGAGGGAGGCCTGTCCGTGGAACTCCAGGGTGCTTCTCTTTCTCTCCATGCTTTTCTTCCCTCCCTCCCCAGCCCTTCTCTCTGGTTCTTTGTTCCACAAATTTAAGCCATTTTTCCCTCCTTGATCTCTTTTCTCAGTCTCCTCAACCCAGGGAAACCCCTGGATTGGTTGTGTGTCCCCTTCTGCATTGCATCCTGGAAATGCCTTCAAGCAGCAAATGGGTAATTCATAGGGCTCACTTTGTTTTCTTTTTCCCAGAGACCACAAGCCTATCAGCTACTGCCTGGAAACCATTGCTTCTATACTTTGTCCAATTTTTTAATTGTGTATAGTAGGAGGGTAAATTTGGTCCCTGATTCTCCGTCCTCTAGGTAGAAGTCTCTACCATTTTTTAGGGACCTTACATATTGACAGTAGATTGCTTTCTTTAAAGAGCTCTCACTGTAACAGACACGGCTTTTGAACAGTTAAAAAGTAGATCTGTATTTAAAGTAATAAAAATTGTATATATAAATAAATCAAAATATGATTTAGGAAATTTAGATCTTCCCCACATGGCTATCTATCATATGACCGGAGACTAATTCATTGTTATAGAATTGCATGGGGTTGAAAAGTAGTTTCAGAAGAGGACTAAAGCAGATCAAATTGTGACTTACTGAGGAACTGTGGTTGCTCGGAGCTGTACCCAGTCACTGAATCTTAGCTATAAACCCTCCATTGCCTTACTGTCTATTTAAATCCTTTGTTAGTGTTCTTCAGGGTTTAAATTTTTATTTTGATGTTTCATCCATTATTCGAATAAGGAGTAAAATACTCAGAATCCATGTGATAAAGATCAAAATCATAGTGAGAAAGTCAGACAAATAAAATGCTAACAATATTTAAACTGTGATAGTCTCCACTAACTACTGTTTAACACCAGAATTAATATTTTTCTCCAGATCCTTGCTGACTGCACTGAAAATAAGTGAGGCTAATTATAATAATCCATCCTTGGGCCAACTTCTGTGGAGCAATAGATCAACCTCAACTATTAACCTTTCGTGTGAGTATGTGTGGTGTGTGTGCATGTATGCAAGAGACAGAAAGTGCATGTGCAAGTACACATGCTCCCTGACTTATTTTGCACCTTGTTTATGCCGGGCATCTCAACCATCATGACAACCCTGTAAATTCAGGTTTTTAGGTATACATCTCAGACATTTAATGAAAAAACTGAGATCCAGAGATACTAAATGACAAGTCCAAGTTTTCCCACTACACCACACTATCTCTTACAATGCCATGCAGTATTACCATATGTAGTATCAGAATTCAGCCGACAACAGACCACAAACAACCTTGGGCCATGCATCTTGCAGTCCTGTACCCTGAGCTACAAAAGGCAAGTAAGACAGTGTTGGATGGATAATCATAGTGTCTTTCATTAGGAAAAATTTTAAAGTTTATAATTTACATGCAGCAAATCAAAACAACAATGAAGTAATTAAGGCAGTAGTACATTATTTTCTTTATTTAGGCCAATTTAACTGAAAGAGACTGATGCATGCCCAACACCATACTACCTGTTGCTAGATAGGCCTTTAAGTTTGAGGTTACAGTCACTATTAACAATGTCTGTGTTTGCACCTTTATCTGTTAAATTGATGGTCTTCATAAAGACCTTCACATTTGAGATTGTACCATGGAATAATTTTTCTGTAGTTGACTTCTAGCTGTGCCATTCTGTATAAGATCCTACATCAACTACAGGTCAAGTATCCCTTATCTGAAATGCTTGAAATATTTGTATTTGGGGGTTTGGATTTTTTTTATTTTTTTATTTTTTCAAATTTTGGAATATTTACACATAAATGATGAGATGTTTTAGGGAAGGGACCCAACTCTAAATATGAAATTAATTTTTGTTTCTTAGACTATATATATCCTGAAGGTAACTTTATATAATGTATTTAATAATTTTGTGCATGAAACTGAATTTTATGGCATGAAATTTTCCACTTAGGTATTATGTCGGTACTCAAAATCTTCAGATTCTGGAGCACTTTGGATTTTAGTATGGTCAAGGTATGCTCCACCTGTATTTTGCTTGCAGTCATCTTGATTTTTCTCATGATGATGAAGCTGCCTCGGGCTCCTCCTTCAGCTTCTCTCTGCCTATGTTGGTGTCCATTGTTGGTAGATTGCTGTTATTACAGGAACTCATAATTAGATAGTAGGTTCAATGAATGCTTGTTAATTTATCAATTCTAGGTATCTTATTATTTCTACTATTATTGGTACAGACAACCTTGAGTATGGCTACTTAAAAACCCATATATAAAGTCCTTGGTGATAACCTTGAGTTTCTCCTATAAAGATACAAACACTAACAGATTTACTTTGGCTTATGGCTAATCAGGTATTAGTGCCTTACTTTCAAATCCTACACAATTTTAAAATAGTTTCTGCATTTATCAGTGAGCAGTGCTCTCTTTCATATTGTTTTTTGGTATTATACATAGGTTGTATTGAACTTGAATTTGCCATTTATTGGGATAGAGAATTGTAAGGTACATATATCTGGTACTGTGTTCGTCAGGAGTTTTTCTCAATGTGAAACATGCTGGCCTATGTAAGGATTATATCTACAACATTGATTTTATTAGATAGTCAGTGGTCATGTCATGCTTTTGTATATAGAATGGAGACTCAGGATTCACTTTTTTTTAAATTCCTCATCTCCAAGATTTAGGGTGAAACTAGTGGTAATTAAATAGAAGGGGAGAAATTATGTGTAGTGTTTACATATATGTGTGTGATAACACTTTGATTATTTTTTTAATTTTTATTTTATTATTTTTAAATTTGTACTTTTTATTTTTAATTAACAAATCAATGTACATATTTATGGGGTACAGTGTTATAATTTAATATACTACACTTATACAATGTATAAAGATCAAATCAAGGTGATTAGCTTCTCCATCTTCTTATATATTTTATCATTTCTTTGTGTTTGAAGCATTTAAGCTCCTCATTTTAGTTCTTCATAAAATATATAATGGGTTGCTATAAACTGCAGTCACCCAACCATGCTGCAGAACACTACATTTTATTATTCCTATGTATCACCCATAGTCCAACCTCTCTCTATCCACCCACCACACTCTTCCTTGTCTCTATCTCTGTCCTTTCTTCTTGCTTGAGAGAAACTGTCTCAACTTCTATATATGACTGAGAACATACATCATTTTTCTTTCTGTGTCTGGCTTATTTTACTTAACATAAATTACCTCTGACTTTGCCTATTTTGCCACAAATGACAGGATTTCATTATTTTTTAGGCTGAATAATATTTCATTGTTTATATTTACCATTGTTTCTTTATCCATTTATCTGCTGATGAACATCTGGGTTGATTCCGTATCTTGACTATTTACAAATAGTAAGCCTTGGTTTTTAAGTTACCATATAAATATTAGTTAAGAAGTCCTCTTCAGGACCAGACTGCCTGAACTTGAACCCTAGCTCTTCCAGTCACTAATTGTAAGTGTGACTTTGGTCAAGTTACTTAACCTCTCTGTGTTATTGTACCCTGTGACCTTGGTAAATTCACTAATTCTAATAGTAGTTGTTCAATAGATTCCTTAGGATTTTCTACAAATTCATTCATTTTGCCTACAAGTGAAGACAGCTTTACTACTTCTTTTTTAAACCTTTATGCTTTTCTTACTTACTTTGTTGTGCTGGCTAGCACCTTCAATGTAATATTAAATGAACAATTGAATTCTATTCCCAGTCTTAGGGGAAAAACATTCAGTCTTTCACTATATAAACATGATGTCAGTGTAGGCTTTTGTTATGTGATCTTTTTGAAATTGAGGACATTTTCTTCTATTTCTAGTTTGCTTGGAGTTGTTATGATGACTGAGTACTGAATTTTGTCAAATGATTTTCATCTATCTATGGGGATAATCATATGCTCACCTTCTTTGTTAATATGGTGATTTATATTGATTGATTTTTTCAAATGTTAGAATTTCTCTTAATGTAACAAAAGGAAATTGAGATATTCCGTTATCTTTTTTTGTGCATTTGTTGGGAACTGGTAGTATTTTAAGATAGTTCAAAATCTCTAGGCTTATTCTCTGTCTCTCAGTTATAAAGACAATATGTTAAAGACATAATAGACAACAATAATATACCCTTTGGGGGAGAAACAAATGATTATATTGAGACTTTCTAACTGGTGATTTAAATTTTGTGATGAAATAAAAACTATAATAATATAGTATTTACACTAGCTTCCTGATCATTTAATTCTCCCATAATTCACAGAAAAGCAATTTTAATTCTTTTGAGATCTTCCTTTTCAAATAAATGAACACACTGGGTAATGAAGCTGACTAGGTAACACATAATTGTTGAGATGTAATTCACTCCATATTTAGAAATATTTTAGAGTGGCAATTATAATAAGCACAAGTGTCCAGGTGATAAAATGCTCAGTTCTTCATTGCATGATAAACAAAATGGGGACTTCCGTAGTTGACACCTTGATTTGTCACATTTGCTGTTCAACTGTGGCCATCATATGATGTTCGTTCTCTTTATAGGAAGATATTTTGGTTGTTTGTTACTAGGTATTACAAGGCCTGTCTTATCATAGTGACTGCTATTTTTGTAAAGAAAGTGGTTTAAAATAAGTGTTCAAATATAGAAAGAATGATTCATTCCCCTGTTGCCAGGGCCAGTACTACAAATGGAAATCGCACTGAGGGGGACATCAGCTAATTGAGTCTTTCAYTAGGTTTTATTTTCATAGCCTTTGATTCCTAAAGCCATAGCTTGCCCATTGCCTCAACAAATGCATTGTACAAACCCAACTGAATCACATAGGTGAGTACGTGGCTGAAGGCGGCTTTGGAATCTTGTGATGCTTCCCCTATGTGAGCTGCATCAGCTCTCTCACAGGATTGGTCTTTTCAGTTTCCAGAAGCAGCATGGCCTGCTCCATTCAGCTGCTATGCCTACCCCATTCTTTAACTCTGTCTCTCGCTCCCTGAGCATCATTCACAAAGACAGTCTGCTCTAAGGAGAGGCACAGATAGCTGAGGAAGGAGGCAAGGGAATCATGCCAATCAGAGGGGAAGAGTAAGACATTAAAAATGACATTAGTGCAGTAATCCCATAGGGACTGAAACAAATTGAGCTGGTAGGTTTTTCCTGGAAATTCCAGCTCTTTCCAGGCATTTGTTTTTCTCTGTAAGAGCAGGGCAGGTTTGAGTCTTTTTATGTGACAGGCCATTCAGCAGAAGCAGTTAAGCCTACACAAAACTACTAAATAAATAASAGGCCTTCCAGCATATACTTCATGTATAATGATATGAAGTCATATAGTTTTTTCCTTATGGTATTCTTTAAAAATCTTTTATTTAACTTGGTGCAAAAGAAATTATAAGGTAGGGATAGTTTAAAAGGAAGACTRTTTGATAGAAAATGATCACATTTGAAGTATTTGTCATTCTCTTAACATTATGTGGGTAGATTTCTGGTTCTTAGCAATCAGTACAGTTCAATAAATATGTATTATGACCCACCCACTCATGGATGAGTGCCACTCTTTATTTTGTGTAGGCCATCTGAGACAGAGGATGGAATTAGAAGATAAACTTCTTTGCTAATCACTGATTGAGGATGGATTGGACCTGGAAAGCACTGGTCAGAGGTGGCTAATAATAGGCAATAGATATAAAGGAACTCTAGGGGTTTTTAAATAATCAATGTTGTTTTTTCTAATTACAAAAGTAATATGTTTTATCATAGAAGATTCAGATAAGCAAAGTCAATTTTAGAAACCTATTATGAAAGCACCCTAAAGTAATGCTGTTACCATTTTGTTTGATATCCTTCTAACTTTTTAAGTTTGTGAATATATAGACATAGCTGTAGGTATATTTGTTTTTACAAAAGCCATGCCTTATAATCTTTTGTAAACTTATTGTGAAACTTTATCCCCGACTGATGGAATTTAAAAATTTTAATTTCCCTCCTTTTTTATTA